AATGATATCCTAAGATATCGAATGATATCCTAAGATACTGTATGATATCCTAAGATATCGAATGATATCCTAAGATACTGTATGATATCCTAAGATATCGAATGATATCCTAAGATACTGTATGATATCCTAAGATATTGTATGATATCCTAAGATATTGATATCTCAGCTAAGATATTGATATCCTAAGATACTGATATCCTAAGATACTGATATCCTAAGAAAATGATATCCTAAGGAAATGATATCCTAAGATACTGATCAGCTCCTTAGGCTCGGAGCCAGCTCCTTGGGCTCAGAGCCAGCTCCTTAGGCTCGGAGCCAGCTCCTTAGGCTCGGAGCCACCTCCTTAGGCTCGGAGCCAGCTCCTTAGGCTCGGAGCCAGCTCCTTAAGCTCGGAGCCAGCTCTTTAGGCTCGGAGCCAGCTCCTTAGGCTCGGAGCCACCTCCTTAGGTTCGGAGCCGAGCTCCTTAGGCTGTGATGTAGGGTCGATGTAGGGTCGATGTAGGGTCGATGTAGGGTCGATGTAGGGTCGATGTAGGGTCGATGTGGGGTCGATGTAGGGTCGATGTGGGGTCGATGTGGGGTCGATGTGGGGTCGATGTAGGGTCGATGTGAGGTCGATGTAGGGTCGATGTAGGGTCGATGTGAGGTCGATGTAGGGTCGATGTAGGGCTAGGAGTATAGGAGATAGGAGCCACCAAGGTCCTAGTGATAGGAAACAAATTGGAATTGTTGGAGAACGAATGTTTGATAAGAATATAGTCCACTTTATGAACGCCTATTGGCGACTGCCGTGTTTATCTCTTCGCCACCTGGTGAATAAACAATAAAGCCAAACAGGTCCCCAAGAACGGTGCTCGGCTCCGAGCCTAAGGAGCTCGACTCCGAACCTAAGGAGCTGGCTCCGAGCCTAAGGAGGTGGCTCGAGCCTAAAAAGCTGGCTCCGAGCCTAAGGAGCTGGCTCCGAGCCTAAGGAGGTGGCTCCGAGCCTAAGGAGCTGGCTCTGAGCCTAAGGAGGTGGCTCCGAGCCCAAGGAGCTGGCTCCGAGCCTAAGGAGCTGATCAGTATCTTAGGATATCATTTCCTTAGGATATCATTTTCTTAGGATATCAGTATCTTAAGATATCTGTATCTTAGGATATCAATATCTTAGCTGGGATATCAATATCTTAGGATATCATACAATATCTTAGGATATCATACAGTATCTTAGGATATCATTCGATATCTTAGGATATCATACAGTATTTTAGGATATCATTCGATATCTTAGGATATCATACAGTATCTTAGGATATCATTCGATATCTTAGGATATCATTCGATATCTTAGGTTATCCCCAGAAGATATGCAAGAATCACCTAGACGTTACGCTCTTAAAAGTAGACCGTACTAAATTTTGTTAAAACATTTTGAAGAAATAATTGTAAAACTGAAATCTTGTGTAAATTTTTGCCTGCAAAGCCCGCTTTTCCACCCGCGCGATCCACCCGCCTGATTAGTGTACAAATATGTTGTACGTTAATATATACATGCACGCAAGCGTCGCTAATGACTTAGCAACAACTGAACAACGTATATAACGATTACATGTTTATATTGCAAAATATATTACAACTGTTCCAATTCTAACTTATGTTCTTGATAAGCTTACTTATGATCTGACTCGGTCATCTTAACAGTATATATGTATGTAGAATATTTGCTAAAATAACGTTGAACAACATGTAAATATCGACCTTAACAACGACGTTGACAACTCGGGATTAGAAACTTTTTAGTTTAAAATATGTCTAAAATATATTTAAAATATGATTTTTGTGACGAATAGATTCCTTATTTGCCCTCGTTCGTTTTCGTTCATCATGAGGCAGTCATGTTGTCTTTCACTAGGATGACCGACTTGACAACCATTACAGGATTCCACACAAAGTCTTTCAAGTTTTGGCTGCAGAGCGCTCCTGTCTTGTCTAAATCGCTTTCTCTCTTCCCGCACGGATAACCCGCGACGGCCGCGCAATGAATATCCTAATCTACCCGTATTTATCCACACAGTAGAAAAATGCAAATCTCTGATAAAAGTTAATCCTTTAATTAGTGTCACCCTAACAACACATAGCAACCGGTGTGCTTTAATATAACTTAAATTTATTAACCTTATCCGAGTTTTAGTACTTTAAAAACCTAGCACTAAAATATAGAAATCACTTGACAATTGTATATCATGACCTCTAACTTCTATGTGTTTATATAACTCTGACAGCAACATATTCTCTCGTATATAGACCTCATATGGCAGATCGGGATTTAAATATTAGCTTAATTGTAGATACATAACTCTTTACCGCATGCTATTTCTCAGCGTTTTGACGCTTGATAATATTTATATATTACTTAACAACAAAACATATAGTTGTATACCCCGAATATATAAGTTTTAGATATATAACACTAATGCTATTTCATATAGTATCAGATTTTTTACTCCTCTAGGAGCTAAATTAAAGGAATCACTTGACAATCACAGCAAAATGCTAGAGCTGTATCATAAACGTGGAGGGACGCTAAAAAATGCGTAGTCAGCAAATTTTGTTCAATTTCGCCCGAACAGGCCCGCGTGACGTCATTACTTACCTGATCCTCCCCGCGTGACGTCACTACGCACCCTCATTTGTGCGGCCCCCTTAATTACCTGCATATATAATGTGCGCCGCCCCCTTGCATAGTAATTACC